CGATGTACTTAAATGGCTTCCCCAGCTTGGTGAGCTGGCTTAGAGTCTGCTCCACTACGTTGGTGGTCCACTGATTGACTTTGCTGTGCTGGTAAGCGTTGCCACCGATGGCGCTCTCTATGGCCTCTTTTACAATGTTGCTCACTTCATCAACAACAAAAGCAGTCTCCTCCGAGCCCTGGTAGTCTTCCATCTTTGCTCCCGCAAGTCGCCTCTCCCATCAACTTCTTAAATAGAGATCCTATCCCTCATTTTCAGATGGGACAGCTGAACCTCAAACTGTCACAGCTAGGATCAGAACCCAGAGTTCTTGCTGTCTCCAAGTGGGGAAGGTCCTGTGAGGGAAAGAGCGGGGTTCAAAATGGCCCAGGTGGCAGGTACTCTAAGTAGCACCGGATATTGGCAAACTCTTCATCCCACAAGGCCCCTGTCCAGCCTTTGCTGAGGGCTGGCAGTGCCTTGGCACCTGGCCCCAGCCTCCAGCCGTGCACAGGGCTGCCAGAGTTGGACTCAGAACTCAGCTCCTGGGGCTGCTTCCTGCCTGCGGGGCCCATGCTGTCTTTCTCCATCTGCTGTCCAACTTCTCCTGATGCTGCCCTGGTTCCCTGTTCCAAGATAGAGCGGCTTGGCTAACAAGAAGGATGCCTGTTGGAAACCATCTCTGATCGTGCTGGAAAGAGTTGGTGGTCTGGGCAGCTGTCCTCACAAGTATGAATCTCCATCCTCTACAAGGCCAAAGGGCTTTCCCAATATTGGCTTGTTCGTTCATTCATTTGTTCTTTCTTTTGTGCCAGGAACTGAACTCAGGCCCTCACACTTACCAGGCAGGTGCTGCGTCTCTGAGCTAAAATCTCAGCCCTCTTTTTTTTCTTTTGGAGACAGGTTCTCACTATTTAGTCAGAGTAGGGACAGCCCCCATGTTCCCTGGTCAACTTGTCCCTTCTCCCCAGGCTACTAAGATGCTGTGTTTTTTTGCTTTTTGTTTTTTTGGGGGGAAGTGCTGGAGACTAAACCCAAGTTCTTATACATGCTAGGCAAGTGCTTCACCACTGAGCTCTACCCCCAGCCCTTCCAGGTTGCTGAGCAATGACAGTGTGTCTGTATGTGTGTATAGAGGGGCCTGTGGTACACTTGGCCCCTGGGGGGATTAGGGGCATTAAAGGGGCTCAGGGGACAGGAAGGATGTCCTGGGAGCGGCAGTGGGAAGCTGCTCTAGGAGCAGGGAGATTATGTAATAGGCAGAGCACAGCTGTGCCTGCTGCTGCCAAGCAAGACCACAGCTGCCCTATGGACTCAGCTCCTGGCTCCAAAGTCCTGGCCTGCCCTAGGTTGGGTCTTTCTAGGCATTGGGACCCTCTAGTGTACCACACTCTGTCTGAACACAGAGGGCTGAGGACAGCTGCTTCAGGGCCGAGCAGGGCAGGTCATTTCACATCACTCAGCAAATGGCTGGCTTTGGTACACCTTAGGGTATACAGTTCCCACCTGAGCCGAAATCTGGACAAAACAGGACTGCTCCAGGGTGGGCTATAGCGCCAGTGTCACCCTGCACAGAGCGCCCCGTAGCTATTCTGCAGCAGACCCTTATGAGCACCTTCTGGATTTTGGATCAAATTTTAAATCTCTTCAGTTGTACATCACTAGCCCCACGGAGTCTCAGTTTCCTTCTCTGTCAGCAGTGCCTGGGCCAGCCTCCTGGAACTGTCATAAGGATTAAATGGTGCCACAGGTGTGAGGCACCAAGCCCAGCCTGGCATGCAACAGGGGGTCAGAAGAGCAGCTGTTAGCACCAAGCCCTCTTCTCTGCCCTCCTGGGACTCCCCACTTATTAGGAAGGGAAGTCTGTGTGTAAATAGACTCTGCAGGGTAACGAGTGATACAGTGATGGAATGCAGGGCCACTGTGATGGAGCTGTCACTCTGCCTGATGGAGAGCAGAAAGGTTCCAGAGTAGTGCAAGGCCAAGGGTGGCTACCATCTCTGGGCTGAATGCTTGCCTAGACTTTGTCTTCTTCCATACCTGCAATAGTTCTGGGAGGTCAGGGTCACTTTCCACATGTTACAGATCAAGAAGCCGAGGCCTCTCCCAGTTGGTTGGGTTGCACAAGCTTGCACAACCTGTCCTGGCAGAGCTGGGGGTCACACCAACCCTTCCTTCTCATTGGGAAGAGGTAATATTTGAGCTGAGTCTTCAAAGATGAGGTGTGTGCTAGGCAGAGCACAGGAGGCAGGGAGTGCTGGCCCCCGGGGGTGTTCTATCTGGGTTTTGAGGGGCTATTGCCAGAGGGCTTGGTTCCTTTCACTCACCATGAAAGCAGAGGTGGAGGGGACCATCCCAGAGTACATCTTTCAGCAAAGAAATTCTCAGTACTCTACAATCTCTCTTTTCTTTTCCAGAATGGACAGGCCTCAGGGGAAGAAGCTGGACTTCAGCCATCCAAGGTGAGGACCAGGGTGGGTACCTTGTGTTGGGTTGGAGATGCTGTGCTCTTCATATGGCCTAGACATGAGGGCCTTGGCTTCTCGTCCCACTGTCCAGCTCGGCCTTGTTTATCTCATCCCAACTGATCCTGCTGGCAATGCTGGGCATGAAACTCGCTTACCCCAGCCTTCCTATTTCATACATGAGAGGAATGCAGCCTGGAAAGGGCCAAGAGTGCGATTAGAGCTCTGTCACCTGGGCCTCGGTTTATTTACTCCTTAAGTTTGGGTTGCTCTAGGATGAGGGCCTAAGGGCTAATTGGGGGCTCCTACCTATTGGGTCCATGTCTTCAGCTTCCCTCGGGCTCCTTACTACAGCCCCTCAGGCCCTATTTTTGGTTTTATGTGTTACCAAAAGTTCCAGAGGCTAGGTGACAGTTGTGTGATCTTGGGTGGGTTGCTTGTCCTACCCCGGCCTCTTCATCTATGTATCGGCAAAGACTACACCCAACTCACAGGTAGCTGTGAGTTCTGGGAGATGCTGGCTGTGGTGGGACATTAGACCCTCAATGGGCAAGAGCTAAGCATGGGCTTGGGTTCAAGTCCCGGTTGTATCCTCCCTACTCAAGCATTTTTTCTAGAAGCTCGTCTCTCTTCTGAGTCTCAGTGTCCTTGTCTAAAAGTTGGGGGGAAATGTGCTTTTCCCACAGGAGTTGTGAAGGGCAAGTGAAGTTGTAACTACTTGGCGCATAGTAGCTCCAGCCTCAACAGCACACATGCTCAGGGACATTGCTCAACTCCACTTCCTGCCTGTGTCCCCACCTTCCAGGTCTGGGTTGCCTGAGCAGCACAGCTGCTCTACGCTTGACCTTTGAGATGGAGTCAGGTTGGTCCTGATGTTTACCTTGACTCACCTTTCTAAGATAAGGTAGCTGAGTTGGGCGGGGTGCAGCGTGGTGAGAAAAGTAGGCTCCCACTTCCTCCACTCTTGGTTACTGTGGCAGCAGCGCTGTCAGAGGCTAATAAGCAGTGTGGCCTGGGCTCTTGCTTTCTCCTTTCTATAGAGTAAGCATCTCTAGTTGCCTATAATAAAATGAAGAGATTTTAGGTCCCAATGGAGAACCACATGCTCAGATCTTAGGGCAGTGGTTCTAGGGTTCACCTGAATATACAACTTTTAGGGAGTTGGTGGTGAATACAGCTTTGAACCTCAAGAGTGAACGGGGCTGACTGGGGACAGGGCAGGAGCTTGTTCAACCAGGTAACCTGCCTTGGCTTCCCAGCCTAACTCCTGTCCTGAAACAGCAGATCCTGGGTGGGGAGGAAGATGAGGCTGGAGACGCAGACAGTGAGAATCTTAAATGCCGCATTAAGAGAAAGAGTTTAACCCCTGCCCGGTGCCACACCAGCTTTCCATTTAGTTCTCACTGTGCCCTTGAATGTAGACTGTTAACTAGCCACATTTTACAGATGAGGAAACTGGGGCCCAGTGTTGCAGAGCTGGTGGCAATAGAGTCACGTCTAGCTTGACCATGAAGTCCACATTTCCTCTAGGCTAGGGAATCCAGAGCACTGAAGAGGACAAGCACTGTGTCTGTGTCCCCAGGTACTACAAGTCCTGAGCACCTGCTGGTCCATCGCTTGCTCCAGCCTACTTCTGGGTTTAACACACCAGGGGGCGCTCAATCTGTGGGCCCCCTGTGTGAATGAATGAGCTGGCAGTGGCCAGTTCCTCCTTCGTGGAGCATTGGTGCGTCATGTTGTGGCACTGGGAGACCGAAAGGCCAAGTCAGCGTCTCCCTGCCTTTGGGGGCAACTAGTCCTGAAGGGAGGATGGGAACCTTGTGCTGTGTGGTCGGCACAAGGCTAGGGAAAGAGCACATCCATGGGCACATAGGACCTCCACTCTGTGCTGGGCCTCCTGTTGGGCAGAGATGTACCACTTTCCAGGTGCCCCCATTTCTCATGGTGATTAGGTGAGAGGAACACATCCCAGCCCCAGCTGGAGACATCTGAGCTTGGGGCTTAGCCAGGGTGAGCCAGACATCACTGACATATGTGGCAGAGGAAGAAGAGCTGGGTGAATTTAAAAAATGCTAATGATGGAGCTAAGTGAGAAGACCCTGGGCTAAATCTCCAGTACCAAAAAGAGAGGGAGAGGAGGACGTGGGGATGGAAGGAGGAAAGGGAGAGAGAGAGAGAGAGGGAGAGAAAGAGAAGAGGGATGGGAAGGGAGCAAGCAGAATAGAGCTTATCTCTCAGGGTCACTTGGGAGAGAGAATAGGACGTGTATAAATTAAAATATCCTAAAAGTTTTGGTACAGGGTTTGTTGTGTGCTGGTGTAATAATGCTTCTTAGCTTAATCATTTTAGCAGAAGGAAGGATGTGGGTTTCAGGAGTGATAGTGTACATAGCCAGTGCAGGGTGAGAGCTTCCCGGGGCCGTCAGCACCTGGCACACCTGGTCTCCTCAGGCACCCTGGGGCTTCCTTCCTCCCTTCCTAGGAGCAGACCGGGCACCCTAGGCCCCTTGCCCTGGCTGTCTCCGGAGCTGGACCCCTTTGAAGCGCCTGCCGGTCTATTTTGAGAGCTGAGCGTTTCCCCACTACCCTCCTCTCTTCCTGTTTATGAAATACTGATCCTCCCGGATTCCTCATGCTCCCCTGGCCAAAGCTGAGCCAGGATGTGACTGTGGACTTCAGGGAGCCTCAGGTGTGGGGAGGAATTTCCCGTGGGCTGGCCAGCCCACCTGTCTACCCCTGGGACTCACGCCTGGGCTCTGTCCCATCAGCTGCCTAGGAGGGACCCTGTGGCAGAAATACTGTCCAACTAAACAGAGAGAAATGCTGTTTACAATGTCTCTTTGTCTCCGTAGCCTGTTTTTATTTCCAGAAACAACCTTCTGAGGGTGGAGTGTGTAGTTTGAACCTTTATGCACCTTTATGGGAGAAGTCAGTCCGTAGCTTCCCAGCCTATGCTCAGAACCTGAAGCCCCTCACTCAGGCTCATATTTCTCCATCTGGGCCTTTCTCTCTTGGGCCTGTTCTCCACCTTTCTGCCTGGCCAATACCTGTTCATCGTGGGGACCCATCTAGACTGTCTCCTTTCCTAAGGTGCTGTATTACCTCATCCATGACTTATGGCCACCATTTCTGGAACAGCTGTGGCTGGCACCTTGTGTGTCAGAAGAAAGTTGTATTTTATTATTGGATTGGTCTCTCTCTCTCTCTCTCTCTCTCTCTCTCTCTCTCTCTCTCTCTCATATCAATTCATCATGCTTGGGGACCAAACTCAAGGGCATGCTACCACTGAATTACATCTCCAGACCTTTTTATTTATTTATTTTTCCAGATCTTTTTAAATTTTACTTTGAAATAGTTACCTAGGGGCTGGTGAGATGGCTCAGTGGTCTAAAGCACCTACTTAGAACAAGCTTAGCAAAGCACAGGGACCGCAGTTCAATCCCCCAGCACCACATGCCAGCCAGCCCCGCCCCCTGGTGGGCTGAGCTGGCCACACACACAAATAAATAAATTAAAAAATAAATAAATAAATAAATAAAAAATAATATATTTAAAAAAAAAAAAGAAAAGAAATAGTTACCTAGGCTGGGATTGAACTTTTGATCCTTCTGCCTTAGCCTCCTGGGACAGGTATTTCTATTAGATCTGCTTGAGGACAAGGCCAGGGTCTGCCTTAACACCTGTGCTTCTTAGTGTCTGGCTCTTGTCTGGGCAGAAGCAGGCAGTGTGTGTGTGTTTACAATCAGTGATGTCCAAAGAGGGAGCCCAGTGCTAGTGTTTTGCTTGCAGGGAGGCCTTGCAGGGAAGGCAGTGGGGAAATGCTTAAAAGTGTAGGCTTAAGCCTATGGAGATAGTCAGACTTTGATTTTCATTTTAGCAATCCCCCTTGAACAAGTCATTTTTCACTGAGTCTTTTTCTCATCTCTGAAATGGGATGAAGATACCTCCTTTGGAGCTGTTATGCAGGCTCCTCACCCTAACTGGGGGATGGGCTGTCATTGTTCAGTAGGGCCAGGGACCTGCAGGTGGGCTTGACTACAGCTGGCAGAGGGAGGCCTAGGGTAGGGACCCTTGGAGCTGGGGATCAGGCTATGGGCTGGACCTCTCTCCTAGCTCCTGTGTGGGAGGAAGTAAGTTCTTAAAGAGGAAGTATCTATGCAGGGTGACAGGGCAGGCACCCAGGAATGGGGACTTAAGGGTGTCTACCCCCTCCCACCACCAAAGGCCTCAGACCCACACACAGTCTTCAACAAAGACTCTTTCCTTCCTCTGGCCCCTTCTGCTACCCTGATGGCACAAAGGTTCTTTCCCTGCTTTGGGGGACTAGGCATTTGGACAGTGTACTAGCTCTGGCACTGGACCAGAGGACTTTGAGCTGCCAGTGAGCCTGAGGAAGCAACAAGAGGCCTTGGTCTCAGCAGGGCATCTTTCACAACCCTGTAGGCTGTCCACCACTGTGTTATCAAGGCTGTGCGAGGGCAGGGAAGGGGAAGTCAGTGCACACGGGGGCGTGTGTTTCTACATTGGGGCTGTCTGTGGAAAGGGTTTCCGATCATCGCTGAGTGTAGCTGTCAGTTCCTGTGGGTGTGTGGTGTGACGACGAGGTGAGACCACAAGGGACAGGGCTAGGCCTCCCCTGTAAGGCCATACCCCTCCTCTTAGACCTCTGTCAGTCCTTGCCAGGATCTTCTGTCCTCATGTCCATTGCAGGGCCTGGACTGGTGGGCTTCTTCAGGACAACAGAGCAGTGGCAGAAACAGGCATGGTGGTGCCAGCTCTATGAGCTGCATTCTAACGGGGGAAAGATTATCCAAACTCTGGGCCAGGGCATTCAGACTGTGTGTGGCCCTGCTTGTGTCTGTTCCAAGTGCCCTTAGGGTCCCTCCCAGTGATGTTTGTGAGTGCTGGCTTTATCTGTGACTCCTATTTCCTTCTTAGTATCGGAAGAGATAGGGAAGGTTGTGCCCTTCAACTGTCCCTGGGTCATGGGCATGGGGTCTACAGGGTCACCTCCTCAGCAGGACAGCCTGACCCATCTTTTGTCCCTCCTCCCTGCCAAGAGGGAAGTGAGAAGGAGGGGGGCCAGGGACCCTGCCTTCTGCACCAAGAAGACTAAAAAAAGCAGAAGTAAGGGAAATAACAGGGCCTTCTGGCCACTGGCTTGAACCCTATCATGCAGACCCCGGCCGATTTCCCCAGGGTTGAGAGAGACTTGGTCTCCTGTCCCAGAAAGGTGAGCAGAAGGATGGCCTGCATGCAGCAGTGTCTGTCAGTGTGACTGTGAGCAAGGAATAGGTTTGGGGGGTGGCTTTGTCCCCTGGGGTTTCTCAGTAGCTGCATCTGTCCCCAGGGAGTGTTTTTAGACAGAGGCAAATAGACATGGTAGAGATGTAGATCTCGGGGGTGTAGGTAGGGATTGCCCCGTTCAGCCTTGTCCGCCTCAGTCCTCCTCTGAGCCAGGCTTTCTCCCACTAGAAAGTGGACGGTTGGGGGAGCCCGATTAGCTGACAAGTTTGGGTTGTTTTTTTTTTTGGTGGGGGGTGTATTGCACCACTCCCCATCCTTCAGGGAGAGTCCTTTGAAAGAGGGGAAGCCCCAGACTGACCCTGGGAGTCAGAGGATGGGCTTGGGTGGGCAGGAAGCAGCTCTGGCTGGTGGACCTGCCCACCTTTTTCTGGCACTTGAGGCTGCTGACTCCAGGTCAGGTGGGCACCAGAGGAAGAATTTGGATGCAAGCTGGCTCTGCCTCTAGTTTGCTCTGAGCTTGCGAGTTGCTGTCGTCTTGGCCTCAGTTTTCAGTTCCTCGAAGGGTTAACAGCTTTTTTGAGATAATGGATCGGAGTCAAACCCACCAGATTGCACTCAGGAGCTGGGCCTCTCAGCCAGTGCCTTAGACCCAGGACCCTCAAGCCTTGGCACTGGGGAGAACCCCTAGAGAAATGGAAGACCTTGGAAGTGGGTCTGCTACGGACTGGTTGGCTGTGCCGAGTGCTGAGACCTCACAGGTTGTGTCCCCTCAGCTTCTCCCCACCTTCGGGTACACTAGCAAGAAGCCACAGCTCTGTGCATAATCCACTGGGGTCCCTGCCCTGTGGTGTCTGTCAGTCTGTGTGGGCTTCACTGCTGCTGCTGACTGACAACTGTCCGCCTGTGCCTGTGGTTGGTTGGGTTCTTGTCTCTTGTCTCTGCTCGTCTTCACTAGGGGGTACATGCTGCAAGCTAAGCACCTGTGGATTTTTGGCCCCTTCTGTCTGTGCTTGTTGGGCCCTCATCTATTTCTGGCTGTTGAGTTTGGATCCCCAGATCCAAGTCTGTCTACCTCTGTGTATTAGATGTGCGTTTCCGTACTTCCCTTCCTAATAGGCATGTGTTCCTCTGGCATCTGCCTGTTAGGTGTATGTCTCCACCCATCTCCGCCTGTTGGGTATGTTTTCCTTTCTGTTGCTGTCTGAGGGGTGCAAATCCTTATGTGTGCCTGCCTGCTGGGTATGTGTGACTTCCTGTCCCTGCCTATTAGATGCCTGTCTTTGTCAGTCTCTACCTGTTAGATGTCTGCCTCTGTCTCCTGGGTCTGTCTCTGTCTGTCTGTCTGTCTGTCTGTCTGTCTGTCTGTCTGTCTGTGTCTGTCTGTCTGTCTCTCTCTCTCTCTCTCTCTCTCTCTTTCTCTCTCTCTCTTTCAAAATCTTGCTATGTAGTTCAGGCTGCTCTTGAACTCACTGTGTAGCCCAGGCTGACCAAAACTTATGATCCTCCTGCCTCAGCTTCCTGAGCACTGGGATTCCCAGGCATGTGTCCCTGTGCTGGCTGGCTGGCTCTCTTTATTAACCTACGAGGTTAGGTACTTGCCTCTGCCTGTTGAGTACCTATCTACTCAGAAGTTGGATTGGCATGGAGCTTTCATTTTGCAGACCCACAGGGGGGATGAGTGGAAGGCCAGAAGGCAGCCCTTAGACACTAAGGAGAGGGGAAGAAACAAGAAGGGACCGCGGTGAGGGCGGAGACCTAGAGCTGGGAAACCACAGGCTGTGAGTGATTGGCTGCCCTGGCCTGGGCTCAGCCCCTGCACCCTCACCCTGCACATCCGCCTTGGGCCCGGCCACCTCCGTGGGCAGCCCTGGATGCTGCCTGCCCCTGCCATGTTGCCGCGCTGCTGGGCGGATGGAGCAGGATCCCAAGCCGCCCCGTCTGCGGCTCTGGGCCCTGCTCCCCTGGCTGCCCAGGAGGCAGCGGCCCAGGATTGGCCAGGCCCCTCTGGCTGTCCCTGGCCCTGGCTCTGGCCCCCAGCAGGACTTGGTGAGTGTGCCCGGATGTCTTATCCTGGCCTGGCTACAGACCTTGGAACAGGTGCTGCATAGCCAGTTTGGTCTAAGCTGGCTCTGAGCTCTCCTGACCCTGCTGGATGACTAGATCCTGCCCAAACTTCCTTCCTGGGGAAGCAAGAAGGCATCTCGGGGCTAGTACCGGCCAGTTGTAGAGAGGATATTGGGGTCCTGGAACAGCTAGGGCCTGACAGGAGACTTCTAGAGCCTGGTCTGAGGGAAGTTTGGTTGGTGAGTCACAGAGTCTCTGGGTTGATCATCCATCTGCTCCAGACTGGTATTTGGGGATTGGGGGTGGCGGGGGGAGGGTTTCTTGTGACTTTTAGATCTCAGTGCCCTCCCTTTCTGGCAAGCAGAGAGATCCCCTCCTTTCATCTTGATCAGGAACAAAAGCTCAGCCCTGTCTCTCCATTCTGAGAACAAACCCCACTTCCTATTGTAGCAAAACCAAAATAGCCAAGGGTGTGGGGAGCCCCATAGGGTGGAGATCTGGGGCGGGTCTTTGCGCCTAAACTGGAGCCTGGAGGTAGGCTCAGCCTGGCCATGCCTCAGCAACCCTTGGACCTGACCAGCTCAAGGCAGTGGGAGTGACCAGAAGAGTGCCTTACCCGAGCCAACAGCTTGGTAGTTTGAGGTCCTGTTGGTATTGATGAGCCTGCCAGCAGGCTGCCGTGCTAGGGACGTGTCTGTGGGTCTGACTGTCTGCCCAGAGTGGCTGGGGTGCAGATATGCCCCATGCTGCCCTGGTGCAGTCCCTGTGCCCACCAGCCCTATCCCTGTCAGGATGAGGGCGTCCTCAAGGAGATCTCCATCACTCACCATGTCAAGGCTGGCTCCGAGAAGGCTGATCCATCTCATTTCGAGCTCCTCAAGGTTCTGGGCCAGGGATCCTTCGGCAAAGTGAGTCATGAGCCTTCATCTGGGAAGGCAGCACCTGTCCCATCAGAGGCAGGGGCTAAGGGTCACCTTGGGTCCCAAAGGATGGATCATAGTGTAAGGGTAGCAGTGGGTACCCAGGGAAAGCAAAGACCCACTTGGCAATCAGGGAAGGGAAGCCAGGAGTCAGCATGGGGCCTGGAGGATGGGAGCCAGCAGGCTCAGTCCCCTCTCAGCTTCTTCCTGTGTCCTGACACCCACTCCAACTTCTTAGGTCTTCCTGGTACGCAAAGTCACCCGGCCTGACAACGGACACCTATATGCTATGAAAGTGCTAAAGAAGGCAACCCTGAAAGGTGAGTGGGGGCTGACAGCCCAGGCAGGGCCCAGAGAGGAGGGAGGCAGCTCCCTTTTCAGGAGCACCTAGCCTGAGGGTGGGGAAACAAGCCGGCTCTCAGCCACCCTACCCCACCTCCAATACTTTGTCAGTGATGGTGGCTGATGGAAGGACTGCTGAGTGCAGTGTGCTTGTGGTAGAATGAAGGACCGTCATGCATCAAGTTGGGCAGGCAAAGGCGTCTGTCAACACAGTTGCTTTGTGATGCTGGAAGACTCCAAGGGTGATCTCCTTGACCTCCAGCTCAGGGTAAAGAACCTGAGAAAAGATGGGAAGCTCAGAGGACAGCTAGGCCCATAAGAGAGCGCTGAAGCCTAACCACTGGACCACCAGGGAAGGTTAGGCCCATAAGAAAGGGGGACTCAAAGCAGGGCCATGGGGATGATTGCAGAGAGGTTCAGTTGGGAATCCAAGCCCAAGTCTAGAATTCTGGGAAATCACAGAGGGCCTGAGAATGGCTGGCAGGGGGTGCTGGTTCAGATGTGGGCTCTTTGACCTGGGAGCCAGGGTCACTACTGACTGGGTGGAATCTGAGCCAAGCCCTGGTGGGGGTTGTGGGAAGAAGAGAGGGGTCAACCTGATGGTCATTATGGGTCCTCTGGCCCATTCTGTGGCATTACAGGAACTTTGGTGTGCCCGGCAGTGGGAATCGTTGCACAGGAAGGGGGGGTGGGTGCCACACAGGTGATGACAGATGGAAAGACCCAGTCTCTGCTGTGAAGAGCTCACAGGCTGAATGGGGGCAGCTGACTAGGCCTTGGCAGTGCAGTGCAGTGGTGCTGTGACCCATTTGTGGGGATATCTGAGACCAAGGAGTCCAGAGGATTGGGTGTGGCTTGTAGGGCAGATTGTGGGGCCAGGGGGACACCTAAGGAAGAGCCATGTGAGCTGTGCCTTGAGGGATGAGTTAGACCAAGATAGCAGAGGAAGGGTAACTGGGAAGGCGGAATTGTTTGCCAGAGGTGCCTTAGAGATGTGGGGTGTGTTTGGGAAGCTGGCTGGGTAGCTATTGCAGCTTGGTCTCTGCTTCATCTCACCAGCAAACCTACTAGTGGTCAAAATTACCTTTTTAATCTTTATTTATTTATTTATTTTGTGGCAGAACTGGGGATTGAACTCGGGCCCTTGCGCTTGCCAGAGAAGCGCTTATTCCACTGATCTATCTCCCCAGCCCCTACCTTTTTAATCTTAAAAAGAAAAAATATAGGTTAGGCATGGTCACATATCCCTGTAATCCCAGGCTACTTGTGAGGCTGAGGCAGAATTGTAGGTTCAAAGTCAACGTAAATAATTTAGTAAGACCTGCCTCAAAACATTTCTTAAGTTATTTATTTGGAACAGGGTTTTACTATGCAGCTCAGACTCATAGTGATCCTCCTATCTCAGCCTTCCCAGTGCTGGGATTGCAGGTGTGCGCCACCACATGCAGTTTCAGTGGCCGTTACCACACACCCGGGGTTCTGGGGCTTTCATGGCATGGAGTACTGGGGACTAAACTCAGGACTTTATGCTTGCAAGGCAGGTGCTTAGACTGTTGAGCTATCTCCCTATCCCCTGACTCAAAATTAAAAAATATATATATATATATTTTTCTTAAATTTAAAAGAAAAACTTAGGCCGGGTAGTCAGCTCAGTGGCATAAGTGCCTGCCTGGCATGTGCATGGTCCCAAGTTCAATACTCAGTACCGCAAAAAAAAAAAAAAAAGAAAAAAAGAAAGAAAGAAAAAGAAAAAAGATAAAAGAAAAAGTTGCTGGGCATGGTAGCGCAGGCCTATAATCCCAGCACTCAGGAGGCCAAACCAGGAAGATCACTGAGTTCAGGGCCAGCCTGCACTACATAGTAACGCCTTGACTCAAAGAAAATAAAAGAAAAAATAAGAACTTGAGGGCTGTCCAACCAGACCCATAAATCAGAATTGTAGGCTTAGGGAATCTGCCTTTCAAGCTAGCACCAGGCAACTATTCTCAGCAGCTCCCAGATTAGAAATTTATAAACTACATAAAGTGAGGGCTGGTTAAAGGGTGTGTGGGTGTGGGGGTGTGTGTGTGTTCAGAAGCAAAGTCTAGGGATCTCAGAAATGGGCCCACAGGGGCTGGGGAGATAGCTCTGAGGTCTAAGCACCTGCCTGGCAAGCACAGGACTCGGGGGTTCAATCCCTGGTATCGTGTGCTGTGCCAGAGCAACCTGGGATGGAGGGAAACAGGACTGATGAGGGAGCCTTGGCAGTCAAGCCTGGAGGAGCAAGCAGAAAAAGGAGCCCTTAGTTGGGGCTGGCAGAGTGGCTGTGCTGGGTGCCTGTTCTCTTCGTGACTTCCTTTCTTCTCTTGCCAGTACGTGATCGTGTTCGGACCAAGATGGAGAGAGACATTCTGGCTGATGTAAACCACCCATTTGTGGTGAAGCTGCACTACGGTGAGACCTCAGACCCTACCCGGGCTCCCATTCCTCCTCCTCTGCATTCATCATTGCCTGTGGCCTGCTGCCTTCCCTGTCTTCCCTGTACCTTGTCCCACATCCCGCCTAGCAGGCCGAACAAGCCAAGACCAGAGAGGGAAGTCATAAGACCCAGCTGACTCCCATGGTCTGTCCCTTCTCTCCAGCCTTTCAGACTGAGGGCAAGCTCTATCTCATTCTGGACTTCCTGCGCGGTGGGGATCTCTTCACGCGGCTCTCAAAAGAGGTGAGCTGTCACCCCCTGCCAGAGGGCCTGAGGATGGAAGAGCTGGGGCCACAGTGAGGCCTCCCCATCCCAGACCCTTGCAAGGAACATGTCCAGTGTGGTCTGGGCTTGGAAACTGCCTACCAGTCCCTCTCAGAAACTGTCATCCATCCTGGGACAGAAGCCACATCTGGCAAAGCCTCTCAGAGTTTCTCTCAAATGGCTTGAGAGGCCAGACATGATGACACACCCCTGTACTCCCAGCACTTGGGAGGCTGAGGCAGGAGGATCACTAGGAGTTCAAGGCCAGCCTGAACTGCATAGTGAAAACCTGTTTCAAAAAGAAAAAAAAAAAAAAAAAAGCCTGATGATGAATAGGCCTTGAATCTGATGCCACCCTGATCTGAGGGAGCTAAAGATACCTCTCACCTCTCCACCTTCATATTCTTTTAGGGCTGCATTGGCCAGGACCATAAGTATCAGGGAAAAACTTAAAGCCACTCCAAAAGCCGGATAGAGACTTAGGCATTCTTGTCTCGTATTATCCAAAAGGATTTTGAATTGATGTAAAATGAGCCAAAGACAAAAAAAAAAGGACTATCAGTTTGCTCAACCTTTACAGAGAACCAAAAGTTTAATTTTTAAGATGTTACTTTAAGGGGCTGGGGAGATAGCTCAGTAGAATAAGTGCTTGCCTGGCAAGTACAAGGGCCTGAGTTCAATCCCCGGTTCTGCAAAAAAAAAAAAAAGATGTGACTTTAATGTTTGAATAGATAAACACATTTACATGATTCAAAAGAAAAGCACTCATCAAGAAGTCTTCTTCCTGGGGCCGGGGAGATGGCTCAGTGGAATAAGCACTTGCCTGGCAAGCGAAAAGACCTGAGTTCAATTCCTGGTTCCACCAAAAAAAAAAAAAGGTCTTCTTCCAGCCCCCACCCCCACTGGTAAACATTGTCATTGGTTTCTTGTTTAACCTTCTCATGTTCCTTTTGCCAAGGAATCCAGTTCGTGTTCTAAATCCCTGCCCCCATTTTCTCACTTAAAAGGGACCATTCTGTGTACACTGTTTGGTACCCTTTTCAAGATAGCATATCTTAGAAATTCTTCTGTACCAGAATATGGAGAAACTTTGTTCCAGTTTAGAGCTATACAGCCCTCCACCAGGCAGAGTGAGGTGATTTACTCTAGGCCTCTAGTCCTGTTTTAGCCTTCTGCTACTTCCTAAGGATGCCACAATGAGTGATTTGTATATTAGCCATTTCGTACTTTAAGCCCCTTTAGAAAGAGAAGGGTGTATGTGGCACTGGGGATGTCCCTGGGGTGGACGCTAAGCACCAGGAAATCCCTAGCTGCCCAGGGTCCAGTGCTTGAGGAGGAGGAGGAGGTCTCAAAGCTAAAGCCCTGGCTGCCTGTTGCAGGTTATGTTCACTGAAGAAGATGTAAAGTTTTACTTGGCTGAGCTGGCTCTGGGCCTGGACCACCTGCACAGCCTGGGCATCATTTACAGAGACCTCAAGCCTGAGAAGTGAGTGCAACCCCACCCTGCCATCACCTCCACAGGGGGTGCAGAGACAGCCCTTGGGGCCTCTACCAAAACCCATGCCCTCCTGAGATGGTAGGGCTGTCCCCAAGAACATTCCCCTTTCTTGGCCTATCTGGAGAGTGGTTGAGTGAAATGGGGTGGAGACCACAGCAGGCTCACCTTCAGGGGTGCTTGATCCCCAGTACTGCCATGGCCAAGGTTCAGCTGCCTTCCAGGCAGGTGTTGCCCTCCCTTTTTGCTCATCAGATGTAACATATGAGATGCTGCCATTAAAGATCTTTCCTTGATAGGGTCCTCTCTAGAATCTTCCTTAATCTCTAAATATCTTAATTTTGGGCTGGAGAGATAGCTCAGTAGAATAAGCGCTTGCCTGGGAAGAGCAGGGTCCTGAGTTCAATCCCAGGTACCACAAAAAAAAAAAAAAAAAAAAAAAAAACTTAGTTTTTTGTAGTATCCTAAAACCTAAGTCATCCCGGTGATAAGTAGGGGCCATGGATAAATAGTGAGGTGGAAAGGGATCTGGATTGAGAGTTAGGAACACCTCAAGTAGGCTGTGGGGTACGTGTCGGCTACGGGGGGGGGGGGGGGGAATAGGGTTGAGGGAGATCATTTGAGACCAAGAATCCAAAGTCAGCCTAAGCAGCATAGTAAGGCCCTAACTTGGGAGAAAAAAAAAAACATTATCAAAAGACAAGCACACCACCAGGCATGATGGTACACACCTGCAATCCCAGCACTCAGGAGGCTGAGGCAGGAAGATCATGGTGATTTTAAAGCCCACATGAACTGTGTAACCTTCCTGAGCCTTAGTTTCCCCATTAGTATAATGAGGACGTAAAGAACCTCTCTCACACAGTTGTTGCAAGCATTAACAGGAAAGGTTGACAGCACACCTGCCTGGTGCTGCCCAGTCGGGCTCTAGCGTCTGTTCATCAGATCGAAATGGGCAGGGCAGCTGCTCTGAGCAGGCCCAAGGCCCACCACCCAATGGTCCCACCAGAACCCACCCAGCGCCTGCTTCTGAGGGGCCCTGACTTCGTTTCTCTGTTCCAGCATCCTTCTGGATGAGGAGGGCCACATCAAACTGACTGGTGAGTGGAGGGCACTCACCCTCTTGGACCCTCAAAGGGACACAGGTGGCTCCTGATAGCGCTCGGCTAAGTGCTGGGGCCCATTTTTCCTGAGAGTCTATGGCAGTTACTCAAAAGGGATCAAACCTCAGGCCCCAGACTCGGAGCACCCTGGGATGGAATCCCAGCTTCTCACTCAGTGGCTTTGGACAAGATGTGTAACCTCTCCAGGCCTTACTGTCCTCCTGAGTGTCTCAGGAGTGAAGCCTCCAGGCTCCTGGCCAGAGGAAATGAGTATAAACAGTGGCAGGAAGGAAGGCAGGAGTCCTGAAGACATGTCCCCTGTTCTCCTCCCTGCAGACTTTGGCCTAAGCAAGGAGGCCATTGACCATGAGAAGAAGGCCTACTCTTTCTGTGGGACAGTGGAGTACATGGCCCCAGAGGTCGTCAACCGTCAGGGCCACACGCACAGTGCAGACTGGTGGTCCTATGGGGTGCTGATGGTAAGTGCCCAGACAGAAGTAAATGATCCAACCCAAATCTCTAACCTCAGTTTCCCCATCTGACATTGTGGGGGACCTTGGGATTTAGATTTCCAAGATACCACAACACCCTCCCAGCTAAACCGGCCTCACCCTACATGCCTTGGAGGTTTTCCTTGGGAAGACCTCAGTCTTGACCACACCTGAGGCAGCCATAGTGAGCCCCTGTTGCTTTTCCTGCTGGCCTGGGTTAGAAGGGGTGGGGTTGGAGGGCAGGCATAGTCCTTGCTCCAGGTAGATTTGGAGATCCATCAGGCTGGCGGAAATCCTTGGACTAGAGCAGGTGGCCTGGCCCGGCTAGGTAGAAGTAGAGGGTGAGACATTTTTGTCTCTGGAGGCAGGGACAAAGCCTGACCAGACCCTTGTCTTTGCAGTTCGAGATGCTGACAGGCTCCCTGCCCTTCCAGGGGAAGGACCGCAAAGAGACCATGACCCTGATTTTGAAGTAAGCACCAGCCCTGCCCTGGTACCGTGGTGGTCCTTAAGTCCGACCTCAGTTTGGGGGCTAGAGTGTCACCCTGTCCCTGCCTCCGATCCCCCATTAATGAGACTCTCCTCTGGGTTAAATATTATGCTTTCCACAGCCCCCTTTCCACCCGCCTGGGCCTGTGGGAGGGATCCCTGAAGTCTTTGGGAGGTGAGTTAGTGGTTGACTTGTCTGGACCAAGCTGGGAAGGAGGCCTGGACAGAGAGGGAGGGAGCTGGGGTTCTTGGGGTGGGGCTGTGTCTAATGAGACCCTGGGGCTATTTCAGGGCAAAGCTAGGCATGCCCCAGTTTCTGAGCACGGAAGCCCAGAGCCTGCTGCGGGCCCTGTTCAAGCGGAATCCTGCCAACCGGCTCGGTAAGCAGTCCTGGCTCGGGAGGGGACATGACTTCGGAGAGGGGGGTACAGCTGCAGCCTAGGCCACAGGGCCACATCTGGGCCTGAAAGGGGCCCTTGTCCTTTGTGTGGGCAGACAATGCCACTGGCTACCCTGCTTTCTGGCTCCATGTTATGGTGTTAGGAGGGTGGGTGACCTGTGTGTAGGGGGAAGGCAGGAACTGAGTCATCCCCATTCCCTCTGGGGACAAGGACAGAGGCCCCCACACAGCTTCTCTGCCAAGGCTACTGGCCCAAGAGAAGGCTCAGGTTCTAGCTGTGTCAGTCCCCACTGCCTGGCACAGGCAATTCATTCATAAATATTTGTTGAACAAATATGTGCCATCTTTGAACTGCATGACCTGGCTAGGTGACTGTATCTCTCTGAGCCCCAGGTTCCTCTTCTCAGGGGAGCCTCTGAGTCCAAGCAAGCTTATGGGGCTTTGTTGGTGAAGCGAGATCCTGGGAGCATGCCTGGCATGTCCTTGGTGTTCAGTGTACATTAACTTCCTTTGCTCCTGAGTTCCCCTGGACCACAACCAGCTTCATAAGTGTCAGTCTAAGTCCCTGGGGTTGAATAAAGTGAGAGCTCCTCTCATGGTTGAAAAGGACAATAGGCTAAGAGGAGCAGAGAGGGGACCCTCTAGCTCTCAGAACAAGCCCTGCTTTTGTCCTGACTGTAGCCTTGAACAAGTTGCCTAACCTCTCTGGGCCTGCCTTCTTGCATCTACGTATTGGAACTTGATCATGAGACACTCCAGAAAGTGAAAAGTACCAAGTGGGTGGTAGGCTTCAGGGCCGTGGCTAGGTGGATTTGGAGCAGGGTGAGCCCATCCCTGGTGCCAGAGCACTCTGCAGCTACTTGGTAGACCCATGGGTGTCTGGGGTTGGCCCATCCAGGGACAGATGTTTCACTTGGGCTCTTTCAGGGTCAGGTCCTGATGGGGGAGAGGAGATCAAGAGGCATGTCTTCTACTCCACTATTGACTGGAATGTGAGTGCCTGTCCCCAGCAGGGCTTTGACACTGTTGGCCACAGGGAGGGTGGTGGAGGATGACATTGTGCTCTTGGGGTAAGGGCTAACCTCCTGGAAACAAGCATCTATGCTGCTGTGTGCTGGGCGGAGTACCTTGTGATCTTCCTCTGCATGAGGCTGCTGGTGGGCTGGGGGGGGGGGTGGCACAGCAGTGACCAGAGAACCCCCAACCTTGCAGAAGCTGTACCGACGTGAAATCAAGCCTCCCTTCAAGCCAGCTGTGGCTCAGCCCGATGATACCTTCTACTTTGACACTGAGTTCACATCCCGCACTCCCAAGGGTTCGTCCCATGTCTGGTTTGTCTGCCTAGGGCTGCTACATGAGGGAAGCAGGGAGTCAGAACCTTGGGACACTGGTGGCCAGAGAGTCTGACAGGGCTGGCTGTGTGGGTAGATAGGCGGCGTCTGACTCTGTGGGACACTGGCTTTGTCCCTGTCTCATGTTGCCCGACTCTCCCACCCTTGGCTCTGTGGGCCTCTTTGTGTCTGGCTGAGATGGTGAGGTATGTGGGTGGTCAGGGCCATTACAGAAAAGGCAGGACCACTGCCCCGAGCATCTTCCAGCCCACTGGGAAGACAGAATACACTGGGCCTGCACACATGTCAAGGATCAGGTATCTCACTCAGCAAAGTCATGGTGGAAACAATTTGAGAAGCAGAGGTGCCAGCGCCCACAGGTCAGGGACAAGTGTGGGAATTGGCCTCGGCTGCTCTGACCTGGACCTCTGTATGCTGACTGGAACATGGGCACAGCCCGCTCACTCCTGGGAGTACTACAGGAAGCCAGTGGGGACTTCCAGGAGACAGCTGGAGAAACTTAACTCCTAACCAGATATTGGCAGTGGGTTCAGGGTGGGGTGTTAATTCTGAAAGCCCTCTTAGAGGGGTGTGTTTTGCATTAGGGGTTGTTTTTTCACTGTACCTCACTGCTTATGGGGTACTACCCCAAGTAATCAGTCTTACTGTTTCATTTATCTGTCAAGGTCCCTACTATATTCCATGTCTGAAATAACACAGACCTAGGTCCTACCCACATGTAGCTCAGGCTGGCATTGGAAAAAAGGTTCATAGTGGGTAAGGGGCAGAAGACAGTATCAGGTGAAGCTTCTCAGAGGAGACATCAAGTGAGTTGAGCCTGGAAGGGTAGACAAGGAGTGGATTGTCTGGCTGGAGGGAATGGTGTGAGTAATGGCTCAGACACCCTTTAAGGATCTGGAAAATCAGGCATACAGCTGTGCTGCAAGAACCAGGAGAGAGCAAGCTAAGCCCACAGGGACCTCAGTTGCCCCACGAGGCATTGGGTTGTCTGTCCAGGGCAGAGCAGAGTAGTAAAGGGTGGCATAGCAGTAGATTGGCAGTTGGAGCTGTGCCCCTGGCTCCTGTACAGCAGGTGGACCAGGGAGAGTGTATCCAAGCCCCTTGACCTGAGCTTGGCCTGGGCTGGAGGTTAACATGGCAGTCTATAGTTCCCACGCCCAGGACTCCACCACTGCCAGCGGCTGACGCAGGCCATGGGGTCGTGGGCTTTGTGGGGGGCTGCCTTAGGCTCACGTCCTGCTCCGCTCCTACAGATTCCCCAGGTGTTCCTCCCAGCGCTGGCGCCCATCAGCTATTCCGTGGCTTCAGCTTCGTGGCCACTGGCCTGATGGAGGACGATGGCAAACCTCGGGCCACACAGGCACCCCTGCACTCAGTAGTACAGGTGAGGGCGAGCTGGCTGCTGCTTGGTTGTCCCTTTTTACCTAGAAGACCTTAGGCAGAGTGGCTGAGGGTAGGGTCAGAGCAGGCCAGGCCTGGCTCAAATCCTGATGCCAAGGCCCCGCAAGCTCCCTGATCCGCTTTTGCCTCTTGGTGAAACAGTAGCCCTAGGGCCAGCCTGATAGCTGACTAAAGCGCCTTCTTAGGCAGAGTGCAGCAGCTGGGGTTCAATCCCCAGCATGCCAAGCCAGTCCCGCCCCCGGGGCACACTGAGACAGCGATTGAGATTGAGCATGGTAGCACTTGCCTACAATCCCAGCATTTTGGGAGGCTGAAAACAGGAGAATCACTAGGAGTCCGATCTACGTAGTGAAACCCTGTAGACCCTGTCCTAAATACAGGAAAAAAACAAACAAACAGTAGCCCTAAGAATTGGATGACAACATGCTTATACATTTCCTAGCTCAGAGGTGGATAAATGCCAAAGGTATCCAGGTAAAGAAGTGGCTGTCAAGTCCCTGACAAGAGTAGGTGGCAGAGGGCTTGTTTGTCCCTCATTTGTACACTACATTGCTCCGTGAAAAGATCGAAGAGGGAAAATGTACCTAGGTATGGTGGTGAGCCCCCGTAATCCCAGCACTTGGGAAGCTGAGGCAGGAGGACTGCTGTGAGTTCAAGGCTGGCCCAGGCTACATAGTGAGACTGACTCAAAAAAAGAGAGTAACAGTGTAAAACTGGGAGCTCATTGCCTAGGTGAAGATCCTCAAGGTGAAGGGACTTTGGATGAGACACTTTTCTTGCTGGTGTCACCATGTCCTCCCATAAATGGGGGTATTGATAGGAAACCCTGGTGACTTGTGAGGACAGTAGGTGCACACCAAGGCTATCTGCTGGCCACGTGGCCGCCTGATGGAAGGACTCAGCACCTGGCGCACAACATACACCAGGCACCGTGTGAACATTTGCTATTGTTAATGTTGCAGAACTTTGAGATACTTCATGCAGTGAACCTGACAGCCCGGAAAGGGGAGACGGCTCCTCCCAAACAGAAGGATGAGCTGGAGCTCAAATTCAGGCTCCCATGTCCCTCTTAGGCCTGCTTAGGCTTCTCAGAATCACAAACCTCTTCACAGGTCTGTTGTGACTATTGCCCTCCTCCGTCTACCACCCTGATTATGCAAACTGCACTCTACACGGACAGGGAGCCAGCAAGTGCACCCATCAGATAGAGCAGAAAACTGAGGCCCAGAGAGGGATGGGCTCTTGCCTGAAGTCACACAGCCAGCACTATAACCCAGGCCTCCCGCCTTTTTTCTCTGTACCACATCCACTGAGCCCAGGCCCTGGTGCTGGGCACAGCCCCTGGCACTCTGAAGCCAGCATTCAGCCCTACCTCTTGTTCTGCAGCAACTCCATGGGAAGAACCTAGTTTTTAGTGACGGCTACGTGGTAAAGGAGACCATCGGTGTGGGCTCATACTCCGAGTGCAAGCTCTGTGTCCACAAAGCCACCAACATGGAATATGCCGTCAAGGTGGGTCTCCCGACCATGACTCAACCCCTAGCTGAAGGCTGGGGGTGGCTGTGGCGCTGTGCGCTCTGTGGGGAGAATCAAGGCCTGAAGCTCTGTAGAGAAGGGACCAGACCCTAGGCCCAGAGGCATAGGCTCTACGGCAGGAAGGGAGCCTGGAGTCTGTCCCCAGCACTGCCACATGCATCTACCTTCTCTAGGTCATCGACAAAAGCAAGAGGGATCCCTCAGAAGAGATTGAAATTCTTCTGCGGTATGGGCAGCACCCCAACATTATCACACTAAAAGATGTGAGTAGGGATTCTTGAGATTGGGGTAGAGGCTGGGGCACTTGAGTCAAGGGTCTGTGTCCCTCTGGTTTGGCCACATCCCAAGGACTGCCCCCACTGCAGGCTCTAGTATTTTCTGAGAGCTCCTCTGCTCACTGGGGACCAGTGTCAGCACCCCCTTTCTAGGAGAAGAGGAACCCAGATGGGAGAAGGCTCTGCCAGGGTCACTGGGGTGCAGAGCACAACCTGGGCCCAAGGCTTCTGGCATTCTTCTGCATCTGGGGCACTGGTGACTGAGGGCCTAAGCCTGGCGATGGCAAGATGGCCCTGATGCAAGGTCTTGGGCAGGTGTACGATGACGGCAAGCACGTGTACCTGGTGACAGAGCTGATGCGGGGCGGGGAGCTCCTGGACAAGATCCTGCGGCAGAAGTTTTTCTCGGAGCGGGAGGCCAGCTTTGTCCTGCACACCATCGGCAAGACCGTGGAGTATCTGCACTCACAGGGGGTGAGTCTGGATTAGGGCTGGGTAGGACCCGGATGAAGGTCATACTGTTCACAGAATTCAAGGAGCACGGGCTGGGGCAGGAGTGGCAGTCTCCAGCCAGCTGGCAGAGGGGATAGTAGGGACAGGTAGGTGGGTTGTGGGCAGATGGAAGGAAGGCAGGCAGGGGGGAGAGATGAGGCCAAATGGTGGAGAGAAACAAAATTTATTTAGTACCTACTGTGGACCAGGCCTTATGGTTAGGTTGCGTTAGGTAAGCACAGGTGATTTTCACAGTAGCCCTGAGTTAGATACTGCTATTGTTGACCCTACTAGGAAAGGGATCGAGGCTCACAGGGATAAGGTCATTTGCCCAAGGTCACACAGCCAGGGAAGAATGGTCGCAGCATGAGGGTGTTGGGCTGGGAGCTGCAGGGAGGAGCAGATTTTGAATTAGGAATTTGAACTTGGGCTGGTTGCTAAGTCAAAGGAAGTGGATGCTGGAGGAGATGCTGCTAGAAACACAGCGAGTGCTTCAGAAGAGGTGTTGGCTGTTACTGTTACACAGGCGGGTAAGCATTGCATGGCTCTGGCCTAGAGAGGCACGTACACAGCACCTTGTGGTTGTTGGTCTGAGTTTCTCTCTGGGTGAGGTGAAGGTAGAGGTGCTACTCTTGAGGCCGTGTGGGGCTCAGAATGCCAGCTGTGGGATCCAGGCAGCCGCGTCCGTGTCTTGGCCTCTCAGGCCACCTGTGTGTGGTGGGCACGTTCCCTCACCTCTCTGGGCTGCGACTTCATCTGCAGGCTGCACAACTGCGCTGCCTGCCGCGGTGTACTCGAGGGAGGGAGCAAAGCACTTCCTGGGAAGGCATCGCTCAGTGCAGGGGGCGGTGGGCACCACAGAAGTGAGAGCGAGGAAACTGGATCAAAGGAACTCGAGCGACACTGGAGAATAGTGCCAGCCCCTAGCGCATGTGGACGCTCGACCTATAAATGCCTCAAGTTTTGTTTTGTAATTTTGCTGGAGATCAAACCCAGGGCCTTGTTCATCTAAAGCTTGAGTGTTGGGGCCGGGGAGATGGCTCAGTAGAATAAGCGCCTGCCTGGCAAGTGCAAGGGCCTGAGTTCAATCCCAGTTCCCTCAAAAAAAAAAAAAGAATAAAGGGAGAAAAGAATCTCTAAAAATGGGCTGGTGAGATGGCTCAGTGGTCTAAAGCACCTACTTAGAACAAGGTTAGGAAAGCACAGGGACCACGGTTCAATTCCCAGAACCACATGCCAGCCAGCCCCGCCCCCTGGTGGGCTGAGCTGGACACACACACACACACACACACACACACACACACACAACTAAATAAATAAAAAAAATAATATTTAAAGCTTGAGTGCTACCACTGAACTACACTTGTTTCCTACAACTAAAGTATTTTATTTTTTCATTATTATTAGTTTTCTTTGTTGCAGTGCTGGGGATTAAATCCAGGGCTTCATGTGCACTGGGCACTCATTCTACCGCTGAGCTCTGTCTGGAGCCCATAAAGTATTTAAAGGTACAGCTGTGGCTTTGTGTCACCTTAATCATTTGCTGATGACTCTAAAAGGTGGACATTTTTTTTCAGACAGCTACAAAATTAATAATATTTTCTTTCTTTTTTTTTTGTGGCAGAACCAGGGATTGAACTTAGGCCCTTGAGCTTGCCAGGGAGGTGCTTATTCAACTGAGCCATCTCCCCAGCCTCGATAATTATTCCCATGTAAATGCACTAATATTCTCTACTGACCTTTCAAAAATGTTTCCTCTGATTGGTTTATTGAAAAAATCACAGTCCCAACCCCTACATGTTTCTTTTTTTAATTAATTAATTGGTACTGGGTCTTACTATGCAGCTTGGACTCATAGTGGTCCTCCTGTCTCAGCCTCCCCAGCAATGGGATTATAGGTGTGCATCACCAGGCCTGGTTTCGCTGGCCAGCTTGGCTTTGAGATTGGCATGGCATGTTGTACTGGGGATCAAACCGGTCCTTGCACTTGCCAGGTAGGCACTTAGACGGCCAGGCTATCTCCCCAGCCCTACATATTTATTTCATTCAGTAGTTGTACCTAAGTCTCTCTCTCTCTCTCT